AGACACTTGGCAACCAGCACGTATTTATGACTCTTTCAGCGTCCTGGGTTCACGTGATCGCCGTTTGCGACCGTCCTAACCACGCAAAGTCCACGGGGGAAGTTGGAGTTGCTTAACAGCCGCATGCTGAACTTAGCAACCGCCGTGATTCACTTAACAACCATGGCCGAAAAAAGTCGTAAAATCAGATGCGACTCACTTAGCGACCGACTTGGGAAATTCTGGTTCCAATTGTGGTCGTTAAATCGAGGACTCCCTGTGAATGAATAACATTCTTGTCTGAATTTTTCTCTGCTGAGATATTGATCGGTTTTGTGCTCTCTATTTCTGTTTGCTTACTGACTCAGCCTGCAAAACGTAAAATCCTGGGATAACTTCTTTTACCGAAGAAGCTCGAGAGAAAGCAATTTGCAGTCCCCGAGGTGAGTTTTTCTTTCTGGACTGTCAACTATTTTTATTACCGGGCTAAAAAAATAATAAACAAAATATTCATTTAGCGGGGTGATCTAACCCACCAATCTTCCCCGCAGCAAATATTGGATTTTTGAAGGCAATTAACTGGGACAATATCTCGATTATCCAGACAATCAATACATTCCCAAAATCTAGAAAATGCCTTTGGACCGAGCTTAAGAAATAAGACTCCTTTAAGACAGACACAATGCTAGAAAAGGTACAGGTCGTCCTCGACCTATGACCACAGTTGAGTCTGAATTTTCCGTCGCTAAGCGAGACAGTTAAGTGAATTTTGCCCCACTTTACGACCTTCCTTGCCACAGTTGTTAAGTGAGTCACTGCAGCTGTTAAGTGAAGCATGGTTGTTAAGTGAATCTGGCTTCCCCGTTTGACTTTGCCTGTCGTAAGTTGTGACCCTGGAACACTGCAACGGTCATAAACACGAGTCACTCATCAAGCATCTGAATTTTGATCGTGTAATGCTTCCATGCTTGTGTGAAAAATCGTCATAAGTCGTTTTTTTCTGTGCTGCTGTAACTTCAAACTGTCGTTAAATGAACCGTCGTAAGTAGAGGACTACTCAGGGAGTTGGGAGGGGTTCCTTTGCTTCCTCCTGTGATATTTAAATACTGTTTTATTGATTGGAAAGGGAGGAGTTGAGGAAGGTTCGAAGGGAGAATTAAAGGAGATAGGGCTTGGCCAGTGGAACTACTGGCCACTAGAATTCTCTCTCTAGAAGATCTCCTATCTGCCCCCGGTCTGGGGATATGGAGTACTGGTGGCAAGGGCCTCCTGCTTTTCTCTGCCACTTTTCTGTCACTGCCCCAGTGCCTCCCCCACCCCAGGCCTTTGCTGTGTCATTTTTGTTTTCAGATATTTTTTATCTCTGCATCCCCTTAACTCAGTGGTTCTCAACCTTTTTAATGCCGCGACCCCAACCGGTCGTAAGTCGAGGACTAAACCGGTCGTAAGTCGAGGATTAAACCGGTCGTAAGTCGAGGACTAAACCGGTCGTAAGTCGAGGACTACCCAACCAGTCGTAAGTCAAGGACTTTCCCTGCCCGGGAGCGCCGCGCATGCGTGGTTCCGCCCCCTGTGCCGGCCAAGGCGTAGCTGGCAAGCGGCAGAGACGGAGCAGGCCGACCACCAGCTGGCCCAGCCCAAGGGAGGTAAGGCACCCGCCGGAAAAGGGGAAAAAAATGGACAAAAAAAATGGCGGACAAAAAAAAATGGCGGACAGCCTTGCTTGGCGACCCCCATGAAATGGTCGATCGACCCCAAATGGGGTCCCGACCCACAGGTTGAGAACCACTGCCTTAACTGCATCTGTTCTGACTTGCTCTTCTCCTACACCAGTGGTTCTCAACCTTTTTAATGCCACGACCCCAACCGGTCGTAAGTCAAGGACTAAACCAGTCATAAGTCGAGGACTAAACCGGTCGTAAGTCGAGGACTAAACCGGTCGTAAGTCGAGGACTACCCAACTGGTCGTAAGTTGAGGACTTTCCCTGCCTGGGAGCGCCGCGCATGCGTGGTTCCGCCCCCTGCGCCGGCCGAGGCGTAGCTGGCAAGCGGCAGAGACGGAGCAGGCCGACCACCAGCTGGCCCAGCCCAAGGGAGGTAAGGCACCCGCCGGAAAAGGGGAAAAAAATGACGGACAAAAAAAATGGCGGACAAAAAAATTGGCGGACAGCCTTGCTTGGCGACCCCCGTGAAATGGTCGATCGACCCCAAATGGGGTCCCGACCCACAGGTTGAGAACCACTGTCCTACACTAAAGCTGGTTTCATTCTGCTCCACCGTGGGTTGAGGTTTTTGTATAAATTCTATGCAACATGCTGGGAGGGAGGAAGGGAGGGAGGGAGGGAGGAAAAAGGAAGAAGGAGGGAAGGAAGGAACAGAGAAAGAAAAAGAGAAAGGATAGACGGAAGAAAAGAGAGAAGGAAAGAAGGAGAGAAGAAACCAAGGGAGGAGGAAATGAATCAGGAAGGAAGAAAGGAAAGGAGAGGGAAGAGGAGGGAAGGAAAGGAAGAGGGAAGGAAGGGAGGGAGGGAGGAAGGGAAGGAGGGAGAAGGAAAGAGGAAAGAGAGGAAGAAAGGAAAAAGGAAGGAGGGAAGGAAGGAACAGAGGAAGAAAGAGGAAAAGAGAAAGGATAGACGGAAGAAAAGAGAGAAGGAAAGAAGGAGGGAAGGAGGAAATGAATCAGGAAGGAAGAAAGGAAAGGAGAGGGAAAAGGAGGGAAGGAAAGAAAGAGGAAAGGAAGGGAGGGAGGGAGGAAGGAAAGGAGAAGGAAAGAGGAAAGATAGAAAGAAAGGAAAAAGGAAGGAGGGAGGGAAGGAACAGAGGAAGAAAAGAAAGAGGAAGAGAGAAGAACGGAAGAAAAGAGAGAAAGAAAGAAGGGGGAAGGAAGCAAGGGAGGAGGAAATGAATCAGGAAGGAAGGAAGATAGAAAGGAAAGGGAAGAGGAAGAGGAAGGAATGAAGAAAAGAGAGGAGGGAGGGAGGGGGGGAGGAAAAATCCCTAACCCTAACCCAACCTTGATTGCTAGTTGGGGACCACCGCCTTTAAAGGCCCGGGTGGGGGGTGGGGAAGAATTGTGCTTTCAGACCTTTTTTTTTTTTAAACTGCCTCCTTGTCATAAAAGTAATTTTAATACTCCCGGTATTGATTTCTTGTCTGGGCCACCTAGAAGGGCTGACAGATCTCCCGTATCGTATTTCAGAGGTTATTTTCCCGTAACAGGCATTAAGCAAACATTCTCCACTTGTCTGAAAGAATTCTTGCACATTATAATGTTTTGACATCTTTATTGCAAGAAGGAAAAAACTAAAAAAAAAAAAAAAATATTCCCCATATATCTTGCTGCTGTTTTAATGGGGAAAAAAACCCAGAAAGTCTATCTTAACGTTTCTCTGTTACCCCTTCTATACAGCACGGTAGCTAAATTAATACAGGCAGTCCTCAAGCAGGGGGTTGGACTAGATGACCTCTGTGGTCCCTTCCAACTTTATTATTATTATGATTAAGTGACAACGGTTCATTTAGTGACTGTTCAAAGTTACAACGGCACTGGAAAAAAAGTGACTTAGGACTGTTTCCCACCCAGCATCCCTGAGGTCACGTGATCAAAATTCAGACACTTGGCAACTGACCCGTGTTTATGACGGTCGCAAGGTACGAAATGCAGAGGAGGATGAAAAGATCCACTGGGAAGGATCTAGAAGGTTGCAACTTTGTGGAGGCAACTCCAATAGATCGTCAAGATCGACCTACACTTATGACCACGACTGAGCCCGAAATTTCTGTTACTAAGCGAGACAGTTGTTAAGTGAGCTTTGCCTCATTTAATGACCAGTTGTTAAATGAATCCCTGCAGTTGTTAAGTGAGTCACATGGTTGTTAAGCAAATCTGGCTTCCCCATTGACTTTACTGGTCAGAAGGTTGTGACCCCGGGACACTGCAACCGTTCGTAAATGTGAATCAATTTGCCAAGCGTCTGAAGTTTGATCATGTGACCAGGGGGATGCCGCATTCTAGGTCATAAAATGAACTATTGTAACTCAGGAACTACCTGTAGTCTAGAGACATTGTCTGACTTTCCAAACTTCAACTCCCAGCATTCCCAAGAGGCGTGGCCAAGGGTGAGGAATGCTGGAAATTGTAGTTCAACACCTGTAGAGTTTGCTCACTGTTGGTCTGGAAGGCACAGAAGACCATGGGAGCAATCCTTAATTTGGACTGAGATAGAGGGACTGGCCCAAAGTCACCCAGATGGCTTTCATGGCTAAGGCGGGACTAGAACTCCCCATCTCCTGGTGATTGGCCCAAACTCACCCAGATGGCTTTCATGGCTAAGGCGGAACTAGAACTCCCCATCTCCTGG